AGGACTGCATCGCCCGCTACCGGCTGCTGGTGGAGCTGGTGCAGAAGAGGAGACAGGCGAAGAGCTGAGCGCCGGCGCACCGTGCTCCCGCGGGAACGCTTGGAGACTCCTACGCGGAGTCTCGCACTTTGTACCTCAGTATTTCCGCGCGCCCTGTGCCTTAGTAAAGGAATAAACCCGAGAGAGCTGCTGACGGGAGGCGGGGCCCGGCGGCTCGGTTCTGCGCCTCTGGCACGAGTGAGGCGGGGAGGGGACACGGGCGCCCCACCGCCAGTCCTCAGGAGCCCCCAGAGCCCCGCGAGGGCTTCTGAAGCAAACACTGGCCGAGGTCTGCGTCCGTGGAGGTGGAGGTGGAGGTGAGCGCTGTGGCCCGGTCTGAAGCTTTGGGGACATCCCCTCCCGGAGCCTCCTTGCCTCGGCCAACGACAGTTCTGGCTTCTGTCTTTCCTTTTTGTGACAAAAAACGTAAAACTATGTAGCCCAGGCTAGCTTGGTAGCCCAGGCCGGTCTTCGGCTCTGGGGATCCTCCTGCCTCAGCCTCTCAGCCTCCCAAGGCTGCTCTTGGCGGAGCTACTCAAGCCTGCGGCATTGGGTTTTATTTAAACTGTAAAACCAGGCCGTTTCCTGGCCTCCAGAACAAAGCATGGCTTAGGAAGGACACAGGAACCACTGTGGAAAAAGGCCAACCCCCAGCGCGCTCCGCTACAGCCCCAGGCTGGAAGGCCGGCGCAGCTGTTTTCCCAAACCCTTCCAGGGCGGGAATGAGGCCCGAGCTAGGGGGTGTGGCCTGTCACGGAGATACCGGGCGGGCGCGGGTGGGCGGCTCTGCACTTGGGACCAATCAGGGGGCGCAGTCTTCGGTTCTGGCGTGAGATCAAGCAGGTTTGCGATTGGACAGCCTCACTCTGACGTCAGCTACAGACGGGGACGCACGAGGCTGCGGCCATTTCCTCCCTGGCTCCAGCTGTCCTTTCCCTCCCTCCGGTGAAGTGTGACACCTCGCAGCCCTCTCTGCCTGTTTTGCCCGATTCTTTGTTCAGGGCTCCGAGAGCATGGAAGAATCTGAAAAGGGCCTACAGCACCCCAGAACCCAGGTAAGGGCGGTGCCGCAGGAACTCCGGCGTCCTCACTTCCCACGAGGGTGGCGGGTGCCCTTGGAAGGCCTCAGCCCTGGGGGAGGAGCTCGCGCGCTGTGGGGAGACCCAGGCTCGGGATGAAGGGAGGCGGGAGGCCGTGGGGTCGGCCCCCAGTGGGCGACGCGTGCTGCAAGGCGCGG